GGTTCAAACAACCCTCGGTTAGTCCGAAAGGCCGCCTTCCACTCATCTCCTTCTTTAATCCGGACGTTATTGAAGCCCCAACGAACATCGAGTTTGGTGAAATAATGGGCACCCTTGAGCCTGTTGATAAGGTCATTAATCAACGGGAGAGGGTACCGGTTCTTAATCGTCATTGCATTGAGGGCGCGGTAGTCCTGGACAAACCGAAGTCCTCCGTCCTTTTTCTTAACGAAGAAGACGGGGGAAGCCATCGGAGATTTCGAAGGGCGAATGCGGCCTGTGGAAAGTCCTTCCTCGATGAACTCGTCAAGTTCGCGCTGTTCGAGGGGGGAGATCGGATACACCTTGCAATTAGCGGGCTTCGCGTCGGGAACGAGTTCAATAGCATGGTCCCAAGCCCTTCGCTCTGGTAACGTATCGAAGGACTCCTTGTCAAAGACGTCTTGGAACTTTTTGGCCCAGTCCGGAATCTCCGAAGACAGGGGGGCTGAGTTACGGGCGAAGGCTTCTGCAAGGCGTTGGGACACTGTGCTCCCAGCGCGGATCTCCTCGACTGGGCGAAAAGAGGTGTAGAAGATATGGTCGCCGTCTTCAAGATGCTCGTCGTTGTCGAGATCTGGTGAGGGACTCGGAGGGTCTGAAGTAGCTCCGAGTTCGTCGTCAGCATCGTCTGGGCCGGCGATATCGATAGCGCAAACAGTGGGGAAGGCACCCGAAAGCAAGCGTGATTTGAGGAGTCGGAGGCGTCGAACCTCGGCGCACTCGGTCCGTTCCTCGTCGCGGCAAGTGGAGCAGCTTCGGGGGCAGCGGCTCATTTTCACCTCCTTCATTTCCCAGTTGATCTCGGGGTTATGCTTTTTGAGCCAGGAGTATCCGAGTATCAAGTCCTGTTTCCCAAGGTGGGTTACAGCCAGCTGAACGCGTTCGGAGTGTCTGTTGTACCGTAGAACGAGGTCCGCGATTTGGCAAATAGACCCAGCATCATTCGGGGTGCCATCGACGTTGTAGACCGGAATGGGTACTGAGAGATTTCGGACCAGCACATTATTTCGGTTGACATATTCTGTGTCGATAAAGTCCGAAGTAGCTCCGCAGTCGACCAGATCTGAGAGGGAGAGCTTGAGCGCGTTTGCAGTGGACTCAAGTTCAAGGGGAAGATGGAGCGAGTTAACCCCAGGGGCGGCGGAGATGGTATAACTGCCAGGTAGTTTTTTCTCCCAGGCAAGTCGGCGAATCCAAACGGGGGGCTTCGGAGGGGGCAGAGGGTGCGTCTTTCGTTTCGGGCTCGTTGTAGGGCAAGGGAGTTGATTCATCATACAAACAAGTGAAACGATTTATGGACGCGAACGAGGGCACACCAGTCACTCGTCGCAGGGGACAAAATCCTCTGCCGGAGCCTCCGAATGCGCCTCCGCTAAGGCCGCGGTATTGGACAACCGCGCAAGCAGCTCTCCCAGCATCTCATCGCCAAGTTGCTGGATTACCTCGTCAAGGATGTCCATATGGCAAACGTCGGCGGGGAGCGGACAATCCCGAGCCAAGTGATTGGGGTCGCCGCATCTGAAGCAGGCTCGACGAGGGGTGCCCCGAGCCCTAGTACGATCCAACTCCATAGGGATGGGAGCCGGAGGTACCGAGACGGGGGCGCGGGCCTCGGGTGGCGCTGGTGGGGCCACCGGGCGGATGGGGAACGGAGTTGCCGAACGAGCGATGGGGAAGGTGCCGCGCGGAGCTCTCGAAACGGTCCGGGGTGTAGCCATTCCCTTGATAAGCTTCGCTCGCACTAAGGCTTCGTATTGTCGGAAAGCCCGAGTGCGCCAGGCCAGATAGTCGCGGAGGTCTGGGGGGTCGTTCGAGGACGTGATACCATTGTTGATCAAGGGGTCAAGTCCGTGGCGGTACTTGGTTACCTTGACCAACGTGTCTTCGAAGCCAGCGAGGTCTATCAAGTCCTCGAAGTCGTCGGTGTATCCGTAGACGTCCCGCGTCCCCATGTGATAACCCGCGCTCTCTAGCTTAGCGAGCGCAAGGTCCTGTTCATTCTCCTCAACGAACCGAAGGCGAGACTCGGAGAGGAACTGGCTCCACCGAGGGAAGGGGAAGGGGTTTTTACTCCCATGATGCTCTGCCCATTGCTGAGCAGGTCCCTCCGCCATATAGGACATGGCATAGCGGACGGCCTTTTCTTCACTCGGCTCTCCGTTGACCACGAAGGCCTCGGGGGCAAGCTGGGTGTAGGTTTTGACCGCGTATAGGAAGGCGCAGCCACGTTTGCGATCTCCGTTAAACGCAAACGGGGGGTTTGGTCGTAAGACCAGTTTTGAGGCGACAGTAATGTCACCAAATAACGCATCCGCGTCAAGGGCATTCGGAGATGCCGAAGTCGGTTCGGGAGCTGCCGAAGGTGGTGCGGCAGCAGAAGCCTGGGAAGCAAGATTGGTGAGGATATTGGTGAGGTTGTCTAATTTCGCCTCAAGTGCGTCCATGCGCGCGTCAGCGTCCGAAGCAGCTCCGGTAGACATAACGGGCGTAAGGGACGACAAGAGCAGAGGAGGAGGGGTCAAGTGGCAGGGGCGGTGACGAGGGGGGTACTGACTCGTACTCCGAGCCTGAGTCCGCGCCGAACCTGGCAATCTTGACCGGTTAATCCCGTAGAGAGTTTCTTCTGCTGTAAGGGCAACCCTGGAGACTCCGACGAAAGCCTAGCAGGGGAGGATCCAAAGCGTGAATAAAAGCTACGGGAAATACACGGAGGGACCGACCTAGCAGGGGAGGATCCAAAGAGAAGAAACTCTAAGGGTCCGCCTGCTAGGGTGCCAACTATATACTGGTCGTCCGTAACTGCCGACGTAGAGCGCAGAAGGCCTGAGCGGCGTCGCAGGCTCTGTCCCAAGGTGATCGTCGGGAGGGTCTTGACGGATCGGTGATTGTGCGGGCGAAGGAGGCCGTGGACGATGGTCGGGGTGGGTCGGAGCGTCCGAAGGGGCGCCGGTCGGATGCGCCTCGGATGCGTTCAGACAGTCCGAAGGAGGCCGAAGCAGGGGTTCCCCTGACATCAGGACTCTGATATCGAGCCTCGCGAGGTTGCCCTTACATCATCCTTGTATCCAGAAATTATTCATTATTATGGTAAACGATAAAAACACCGTGAACTTATCGGATCCCATGCGGTGCAATGGACCTGATAACTCATGGTGGGGACTGGGACACACAGGTGTATTAACAGACTATTTTATAACCATAATCTGTAGCAAATAAATACAGCAAATATGTTACAAAATATAAGACGAGATCCGCCAGTCCAGCAGCAAACCCAATAAGTGAAAAAAAGCCTATTATATATGACAAATTCAGGTAATAATACTTTTGAAAAATATTGAGGCTTAAGTAAGATTCATTTATCATTAAAAATCATGGCCATAAAGGAGCTAGTCTCAATATACTCATACAGTTCATACTAGGGACAATGACAATTTACATTTTAATCACTTGAACAGATGGAAAATAAAAGTAGACTTGATTTGCAAGTATTGAATCACATATCAAGTTCTCAGATAGGATATGAGTCAAAGCTAATATCAACAAACCATTTTATAACCATAATCTGTGGCAAATAAAATACAGCAAATATTTAAGACCAGATCTGCCAGGTCCAGCAGCAAAATGTACCCAATATATCAGAGATAAGTGAAAAAAATACCTATTATATATGACAAATTCCAGCAATAATATTGTTTTGGAAAATATCAAGGCTTAAGTAAGATGCATTTATTATTAACAAATCATGGTCATAAAAGAGCTGGTCTCAATATATTCCAGATTTTATACCCTGATACAGAAGTTTATTTCTTCTTGACCAGATTGAGTGTTCTTTTCTTGATTAATGATAGCTGTTAAACATCAGAATTATGTTCTGCTTTGGGAACAATATTTAGTGGAAGCCCTGGTGTGATTCAATGCTTTGAAGAAATATTGCTCTCAGTTGAATCAAGCTTAAGCTTCTGCCAGGATAATTTGGAATCTGAAAATACCCACATTAGCCAGTCTCAGACCTAATTGCCACTGATATGTAGTATATGTCAGACACTTTTTTATTTACTTTTAATCAGTTTGTGCTACGGCCCTACCTTGAATCATGATTCACAAACTGATTTAAGTTTGTGCTAATGGACCGTCGAGAATGAGAATGATTGTCACGACCCCCGTAACACTGATCGCTCTCACATCAAACCGGATGTGTCGGGCCGGCCTCTTTTCTGGCGATCATGTACCAGGAGTATGTACATTCCATGGTTGATGTATGCTAGGTAGATAAAATATACCTAGTCTATCTTGAAGCCAGGGTTAAACATGTACTATCTACATCTGATTCAGAGTCTTTAGTCCAAGCCTGGTCAACAATTCTAGAAATTTGTAGTTTTGTCTTTGAAAATTAGTAAACAAGTAGGCTTGCAGCCTTAGGGTTGTTCTCCAAAACATCTGAGTTTGACTTATCAGTTTGTGCTACGCCGCTTGTCGGCTTACCTTCAATCATTCACAAACTGATTTAGGTTTGTGCTAATGTACCGTCGAAAGTGGCACTGATTGTCACAACCTCGTATTACTCATCCATCAAATGTCACATTTTCTCATGTCAGAACGGCAGGAACGGGCCGTATCTCATCAACCTCCATAATAATTTAATAATTTGTTAGATGTAGCCACATTGTAGCAGAGATAAAATATCCATTGTCGGTATTCAAGTCAGGGCTAAAACCTGTCCTGTCTACATCTGAGTCTTTAGGCAGTCTAAGCATTATTATATGTAAATTCTAGTCAATTTTTTGTTGGAAAATTAGTATGTAAGCAAGTGGGCTAGCATCCTTGAGTTTACTCTCCAAAGCCTCCCAGACTGACCTCAGGTCTATAATCAGTTTGTGCTACGCCGCTTGTCGGCTTACCTTCAATTATACTTGACTCAATTGTGACATTGTGATATCAATTGTGACGATGTGACCGCCTTGTTCTCAGGATGTGCACCCACAAACCAGCCAGAAGCTTGTCGTGCATCCACGATGGAAGGTATTTGGAAAGCCCTCGTGAATTCACGTCTTACCCGCTGGATCATGGGGCTCGCACGCTTCAAGGTGAGTGTTTCATACTCTAGATGCCCAATTCTCATCGCTGTGCTTAGTTTCGACTTTTCTCGTGGCTGTGGACCCCTCGGCATGGACAGGATGCTACGAACCAAATAACGCCCCCTCGAGCGCTTCCCAGTATTGGCCTACATGGCCTGAACACTGACGTTTTCTCGGAGATTTTTGCGCTACTCAATGGCCAGGATCGACGGGCATTATCCGCTGCTTCACCCCAACTGCGCTCCTTGTTCATGCCCCTTCTATTCCGTCGCGTATGCTGGCAGCCTTTGTCTATGCGCGGGTTTCCGTCTTCGACGCTGTGGTCATACATACGGTGGGTTCATTCTAATTTCGAGAGAAATGACACTCATCGTCGCTTCATTGACAGTACCTTTACTGTGCAAGGACGCAGCGGATTCTCCGGGTTCCAACAAACGACGCCTACCGCAGACTACACGAAGGAACACCAAGCCCAAATCACTTCACAGCTCAATGAGGCTCTTCCTTCGATGACTAATCTGGATGAGGTCCGTCTCTATGATATCCCATTCGGCCCATGGACAGAATTCATTGAATCGGTGCTATTGGCTCCAACTGTCAAGCGACTGCTCCTGGCATCAGACCCTTGCGAAAACCCAAGTGAGGTGTCGCTATCGACCATCTCTCGACTTTCGCACGTTTCGTACAACATCCAACAACCTCTACACCACCCTTCCGATAGTGATTGGATTCGATCTTATAGCGCGTTTTCCAATAACGCGGACATCCGATGCCCGGCAGATCTTGTCGCAAGCGAAGGACGCCTGGCGCGTGCATGGCTCAATCCACAAACTCTCCAAAGCTTATCCATACCTGGCGAATTTGTGCTCGAAGCCCTAGATCTAAATTTTCGATGGGAGACTTTGAGTGAACTTCACCTTGAAGGTGTCTTTCCTTTGAGCCCAAAGGGGACCCCGGCAATGCTCGATGTCCTACTGGCCATGCCACATCTACGAGTTGGGCGCCTCAGGCTCGAACAATCCAATAGAGACATTGGATGTCGTGAATATGTAACGCGGGACGCGTTCTCAAGATTCGCCCTCGGTGAACGTTTGCTCCCTGATTTGGTGCATTTCGAAGCGCCAATTTCTGTCAACGATCACATTCTTAGTCTCCTTCCTCCAACGCTAGAAACACTACTTCTCATCGCCTATCCACTCAATCACTCAGAGTTCTTCAAACGACTCATCATTCCTGCTTCTGCTTTACTTCGCTTGCTCTCTGCCGCAGAATTTCCGACTCTTCGTTCACTGGAGCTATCTTATTCGACTAAAGCTGACGGAGAACTTTTGGCCGAAGAGGAACTACTCCAGGCCATTCCTCGAATGTTTCCTGCGTTACGACACCTTATGGTTCGACGAGATGCCCAGCGGGACGGTCCGGACGGCGTCCATTTTGCAACAGGGTGGGACCCAGCAGTGAGTTATTCTTTCGAATTCATCACTCGTAGCTCTAATTCATTCTTTCAGAGTCATTTTGAAGCTCTCGTTTCAAAGCTTGCATATCTCGAAACGTTTTCATTCGACGCTGATATTCCTGGTACCCAGGAAGCAGACATCCTGCCTGCTCGCCATGGTTTTGTTAACTTCGCTCCCGCGAGCGAATATACGGCCCAGCTGGTCAACAGTATAGCAGAACACCGAGCTCGTCCTTCCAAGCTTCGCAAGATTTCATCGTATATGTGCACCGGCGGGCAGATAACGGTCTTCCCCTGGGGACCGTGGTTGATTTGGGATATCGTACAAGTGGGGTTTGACTCGAATGGAAGCCCCGAATACGAAATCCGTAGACGCGAGCCCCCTCCGCCTCAATTTGATTCAAGATCATTTGACATACCCTGGCGCCCTATTAATATGGTGTAAACCCTTGAAGGAACTCGGATGTCTACGTCACGGCTTGATGAATCAAAAACCGGATCTCTTTTATAGACGTCAACTCGTGCGTTCAAAGCCTTTGTTATAACGGAGAGACTGGCAGTAACAAGGGTTGGTGTTCTTTAAATGTTTTTTATCGTGCCGAAGTCGACTGGAGAACCTATTACACGTGTAGCAGAATTAAATTTATATTTATCGATAGCTAAGAGACAGCTATTCCCATTGAGGCGAGTTTCGCGCCAATTTATAGGGTGCACCTAGATTCTCGAGAGTCTGTGAGTTGAGCCATGCCTGCGCCAGCCTTGTTCACAACAAAATCAGGAGGCTGACAGCAGCTTACTTGTTGGTACGCGAAAGAGCCTATAGCGATTTTAGAGGAGGTAGTTGCAGGGGCCGGTGCATGTTGTACGAGACATGTGAAAGTTGAGAGACAGTTGTGAGGGGAACGACACTTGGAGTCTTGCAGGGTTGTAATGCCAGAACTAGCTTTTTGACGCTTGGCCAAGCTGCGACCAGGGTTCAAATGGGACTTTATAGAGCTGGACCTCATCCAAGTTGGTCATGGAGGCTAGATTCTTGATCTGTGAAGCGATTCATGTTTGGACTTCCGCAGTGTAGTGAGATTTGACACTATTGGCGGACACAGGAAGGTCTATGTCCCAGCACGGCGAAGATACTATCGACCAGCATCAGCAAGTATTAGCACAACTGGAGTGTTCTACTGTGTGTATGACCAGAGTGAGGGGGCGGCGGCAGCTTGCGCTGGACCAACGGAGCCCATTTTATGCGACGAAATAAAGCGGGAAGAAATAGGGACCGCAGCTGGCGGGAAGCAGAGGGTAATGTCTGTTGATCCTGCCCGTTGAGCAGTGCAAAAATGTCCGAGAAAACATCCGTGTTTAGGCCATGTAGACCGGGATTGAGAGGCGGAGATACTACTTTATTGGTAGTATCTTGACCGTTCCTCGGAGCCCACAGCCACGAGAAAGGTCGAAACTAGGCATTGTAATGGGAACGGGGGAGTCTCGCAGACGGAAGACTCACCTTGAATCGAAGCCCGAGAAGCCAACGGCCAATGCGCGAGTTCACTAGAGCTCTCCAAAGAGCTTCCATGAAGCGAGATAGTAGAAGGAAGACAAGTGTATGTTTGTTTTGTGGGTGCGCATCCTTGGTATTGAGGACAAGAATGTCACGATGTGACTTGATGTGACATTCTTGATCTGTTTGTTGAGCAGTGTTTGACGACACAAAACCAACGCTAGTAGTACTTCCGTCTTCAGAGCTAGATGGTTGGAAAATCCCTGCGCACTAGCTATGTAGAATGAGGGAATGTACCGGTCGAATCAACCATCTGACGAGTCAAGACTCACGAGTCAGGTGACCGTGCACGCCTTATACACTCCATCATGTGCACCCACAACACGAGAGTACAATCTTGTTCTCCTTCTACAATCTCGCTCCATGGAAGCTCTTTGGAGAGTCCTCGTAAACTCGCGCATTGGTCGTTGGATCCTCGGACTGAGACGATTGAAGGTCATTGACACTCTTCGTTCTCAAGACGCTCAGTTCCCTTACAATGCCTAGTTCCGGATTTTCTCGTGGTTGTGGGCCCCCATCAACGGTAATGATACTAAGACCAAAGTCGGTTTCCCCCATCCACCTACCAGCCACAGTCTACATGGCCTGAATACGGACGTTTTTTCGGAGCTCTTTTCGCTGCTCAATGGGCGGGATAAACAAACGCTGTCCTCCGCCTCTCGCCAGTTACGAACGCTGTTTATGCCCGCTCTATTTCACCGCATAGAATGGGTGCCCTTGCTCAAGCACGAGCTTCCGCCGTCGTCATTATGGCCATATATACGGTAGAAAGTTTCAATCTTGCTACTACTTGTTGATACTGGTTTATAGTACTTTCGCTGTGCTGGGCGATATACTTCCTCGTGGATTCGACAATAGGCCTGAATCTTACTACACACATGACGTCCAACTTCGAATAGCCTCACAGCTCAATGCCCTAACATCTATGACTAACTTGAATGCGGTCGAGCTCAGAAAAGTCCCATATGGGCCGTGGCTACAGCTCATCGAAGTAATTATATCGACTCCAAGCGTCAAAAGGCTACTTGTGGCGTCGCTTCTCAACTCAGACCCAATCTCTGTTTCCCTTTCAACGGTCTCTCGACTTACACACGTCTCATATAATATCCATCGACCTCTCATGCCTCGCCAATTTGCTTCTCATGAACCAACTTGCCGATACCCAGCGGACCTTGTCGCGAGTGAAGCACGTCGGGCACGAGTATGGCTTAATCCGCAAACTCTCGAAAATCTATCCATACCTGGCGAATTCGTCCTCGAGGCCTTGGATACAACTGTTCGATGGGAGGCGATGAGGGAGCTTCACCTTGAAGGAGTTTTCCCTTCAAGCCCTAAAGGGACCGAAGCGATGCTTGACGTCTTGCGTGCCATGCCTCATTTACGAGTTGCGCGTTTCAAGCTCGAACAATCGAATGGGGACCGTGAATGCCGCGAATATGTCACACAAGATGCATTGACAAGATTCGCCCGCAATGAGTGTCTGCTGCCTGACCTGGTGCATTTCGAAGCGCCAATTTCTGCTGAAGAAAACATTCTCAGTGTTCTTCCTCCAACGTTAGAAACACTACTCCTCATCGCATATCCTTTCTTCCGTTCCATGTATTTTGATCGGCTCATCCTCCCCGCTTCTACCTTGATTCGCATACTGTCTCATTCCGAGTTCCCGACTCTTCGTTCGTTGGAGATTTCCTACTCGACCAAAGCCGATGGAGAACGATCAGCAGAAGAGCAACTTCTCCAGATCATTCCTCGAGAGTTTCCTCTTCTGAGACATCTCATGCTCCGACGAGATTCTAAGCGCGACGGGCCGAACGACACCCGTTTGGCGGAGGCGTGGACCCAACTGTGAGCTAAATATTTCTTCACCAAGCGAGCCTAATCCATTACTGTAGCGTTCCTTCGGCACACTCCTTTCTGAGCTTCTCCATCTCGAAACCTTCTCATTCGACGCTGATATCGATATTCCCGGTACTCGCGAGGCTGATTTTTTATTGGCGCGCCGGGGCCTGGTCAAGTCAGGTCAACGACCCAGTTTCGCATGACTACATCCATAGACTCGTCCCAAGTCTCGCGGAGCAGAGTGCGCCCTTCTACGCTTCCAAAGATCTCGGTCTATATGTGCAGTGGTGGACAAACACTCGCGCGAATTCGAATATCCTGCCTCCGACTCGCTATTAATACACGGCAACAACTAAGTTCTCTGGAGCTGAGCCCGGACGGGCCAATGGGGCTGGCCTTGGTCGAGCTTTTCCTGGGCGGAGAGCGACTTGAGGGAAGCATTCGCTCGGAAAAACGACCCGACGGGCCTGCTTCGAGCTCATGGTGTCGTCGCCGAGGACGGCGCATAATGCATGGTCCAAACTTTGATCCTCTCTATATGCGTCCTACCCACTCACCCTTTTTTTCAAAAAGTCCGGACGTTGACACGTTTTTTTGACCTGCAACAACAGCTTCGATATGCATTTTGTAATAAAAGAGGAGCAATGTTATTGTGAGAACCATACTCCGTTGACGGCCCTTTGAGTTACTTCCGTTGACAAGTAAAAATGGCCCCACATGCACTCACACGCCCACACACACAGAGTCACGCTCTCGAGGTCATCTGGATGCACTTGGACCATCTTCATTGGTGCCCTTGGATTTGATGGAACGAAATGAAACGGCGTCTATCCGATTGTAGTTCTGTGGGCCTCTCCTTCCCGATAAAAACAAGGGCAGCCGTTATCAGAAGGAACCCTCATTCCCACTGGTCTCTGTAGACGCGCCTTACTCCCGTTCTTCTACTCCTCCTTCTATCACACTTTCTCTCACCGTCGCTATGTGCCACTGAGTTAAAAGGAAGCGAGGCTATGGATGCGGGTCTCCAGAGAGATCCACACGCGATCCCCCGAGCTCACTGGCACAGCTAAACACGATGTCCGACTCCGACGAGATCAAGAGGGTGCCTCTGAAACCCATGCCGTACGACAGTGCAATTCACGAGTTCCAGCGGGTCAGAATATCCGCCGTTGTTCTAGTTTCCGGCGCTCATAACTTTTGCAATAGACTGCCGCTGACGTTGCGAAGAATCGCATCCAGAGAACATCCCCAGACAGCTATGGGATATTTTATGATCCTGAGACCAAGGGTCTCAAGGTGTATCACCCTCAGGCTTCGAACGAAATACCGTCCCCGACCACGTCAAATAAGCGTCCTCAACAAATTCCAACTTATCCGGCAACAGAAGCACGTTGGATGGGCAATCCTAATGATGCTATTGCCATCTTCTCTGGAAGTGGCGGGGTTCGTCGAACTGGAGGGATACCGGAGCTGAACGACGCAATTCTCGGACTTTTCCCTTCACAGACAGGTGAGCCAAGCTTCATTTTTTGTTGATTATAAAGCATCTTTGTTCTTAGATCAGTTGCATACGGTAGCAGTGGTATGTATCAAATGAACTCTCTTACCATCTTCAACTCTACTATTGCTGTTAGGGAATTGATACAGAAGACCCTTCTATTGGAGCACCCTTTCTGAGACTTCTCTTTGATACAGGTAGGCCTTGAAATTTAGTGGTATTCAAATATTGAGTTCTACTATAGGTTCCAGCTTGATGTCAGCTATTCTAATAGGAAAATTTGAAGCTAAACTTACCATACTTTACAGCTGGACATTTTCGGAAAATACTCTTCAGATGGACAGCCAAATTGTCTTCCAACGTCCCAATGCTTGTCATTATACCTCTGATGCTACTTCCTTGCCTATAACCACTGCTGTATATCGGTATCACAATGGTCTTCAGATTGGTAGGGATTTGTTTATCTGTCTATTGAAGTCTATACTAATGCTCAGCCAATTCAGTACCACAACTACACCAGGGGCCTATGTATCTTGTTGGAAATCCCAAGTCAACAGCTCAGAATGAATATCAGGTTCATCGTGTGGATAATATGATATTTGGCACTGCAATTCAGGCATCTGCTGGTTTTACTAGATGGAACTTTGACGGAATACTTGGTATGGGATTAATGTAAGTGTTTTATCAATATATTTAAGTTACAGCATCTGATATTCTAAAATTACATAAGCCCACCTACTGATATCTCTGTGTTCTGTAACCAGGTATATTTTCTTTAGTTTTGGATGCCAATTTATATTAACCCTGAGAAGATTTTTATTCAACAATTATCAGCTCAAAGAAAAATTTCAGTAAGTATCGTCAATTATTTGTTCTTTTGATATATTTTAGCTTTTAGGCTGCAAGGTTCACAGTTGCCTTGAAATCAAAGGAGTATGCATATATTTTCTTTCTGTCTTTTTGTTTTTTTTTTGTTAATTTATTATGACAGGTTTGATAGCTATCTTATCCTTGGACCTCACAAGGCTATCCCAGATGAGGTATGGAGCAACTGGGTTAATACAGTGGATGGTTGTTCATCCTGGGCAATTCAATGGGATGCAATGATTATAATGGATCACAACATGAATACTATTGGCTATCTCCCAAGTCAAGGCCAAATGCCTTTTCTGGTGGATACAGGTATTGAAATTATTTCATTAAATTATAGGCCTGATATACTTTTTAGGCTGCTCAACCACATTTTTGCCTTGTGAAATCCGAAAAGCATTAGAGTCTGCTCTAAGTGCTGAAAAGGATGCCTTTTCAGGCAAACTTTTCTGCAGCTTACAAAATCCTAATTTGAAATCTTGGAAAATGCAGTGCTCCTTTGGCAATTGTGTTCTTACTATCCCACTTTTTCACTTTGTCGACCTTCATCGAGTTGGGCCAAAAGCTGATACAGTTTGGTGCAACTTCTCAGATGGTTTAAGTTCTGGTCAGGTTTATGTCAACCAGGAAATAAAACAAACCTACGTTTTGGGAAATGTAGGTATCTAATATTAATTGAAACATATACCATTAACAAGCTTTTAGGGTGTTATGAGAAACTTATTGGTTGAATTTGAATATCTTTCAAATCCTTACCATTATGGACGAATCCGCTTTGCTCAGCGCCCCCACTAGTACAATTTAGCTTGCCTTGGATTGGAATTGATTTGCTTATATGAAATAAGAATATTAAGATATATTTGTGCATTCTCTAGAGGAAAAATATGGTAGGAAGACTACAGAAAAGGCACCTATGTGTCTCAGTCCCCACTGTAAGTTATCAGGTCTATTGCACTGCATAGGACCTGATAAGTTCACCGTGTTTTTATCGTTTACCATAATAATGAATAATTGTGAGATAAAAGGATGAATAATGTTGAGTTCAATACTTTTTTTTTTTTGTCTAAGTCCATTCTAGTATGAATAGTGATGAATAATTTGAGGGGTATAAGACTTAGACTTCACAACTAACACTAGTATATAATATCACAAAGGAGTTTGTTAATAGCAATAATATGAGTACTGTCCTATTTTGATCAAGTGTCCGGGGGGTATAACACGTAACGGACTCTGTCCGGAGAAACAGGTGTCCGGAGCCCGAGGGAACGCGTAACGGGTCAAAATCTGACCGTGTCCGCAGTGATAAATGCTAAGATTTTGTGCATTTTTTGCCTCTAATCAGACATTTAGACGTAATTTGAAGCTAAAATGGTCAATTTGAAGACTTGGGAAATTTTTTTGAGATTCTATCCCACTTTTGACCAAATCCGTTACTGTCCGGACATGGCTGTAACACGTAACGCTCCCCAAATGGGTCCTGTCCAGAGGCCCGCATAATGCGTAATTGTCAGGGGAACCCCCGCTTCGGCCTCCTTCGGACCCTCCGAACGCATCCGAGGCGCATCCGACCGGCGCCCCCTCGGACGCTCCGACCCACCCCGACCATCGTCCACGGCCTCCTTCGCCCGCACAATCACCGATCCGTCAAGACCCTCCCAACGATCACCTTGGGACAGAGCCTGCGACGCCGCTCAGGCCTTCTGCACTCTACGTCGGCAGTTACGGACGACCAGTATATAGTTGGCGCCCTAGCAGGCGGACCCTTAGAGTTTCTTCTCTTTGGATCCTCCCCTGCTAGGTCAGTCCCTCCGTGTATTTCCTGTAGTCTTATTCACGCTTTGGATCCTCCCCTGCTAGGCTTTCGTCGGAGTCTCCAGGGTTGCCCTTACAGTAATCCGGACAGTTGATCGAAATGATACAGTATATCATGCTATGAATAATGATGAATAATTGAACCCCTTATGACTTGTGTTCATTTAAGTGCATGAGTCACACTGTTATGTAGCATCACACAGTGTGACAAATTTCCAAAAAATGAAATTTTCGCCATTTGACAGGAGAATCATCAGAGAATGTCACACATCGTCACAAAACAAAGTCCTATGTTTTGTCTATACAAATAACTTTCATTAGGTAATATATAGTCAGAGCTGAATGGTTATGCTAGCTTAAACCAATCACTAGCTCTGTCAGGGGATGAGGGTCCAGGTGCCTAGTTGATACCAAAGCCGGGGGAACAGCCCCACAGCCAACTACTTAAGTACAGGGCTATCTGCGCACGGACCAGTCACGTGATCAGTCACAGCTGTCACATCACATGCTCCCCTTACAAGCTCATATATAATTAACAAGATAATATCTTAATAACTAGACAGGCTACACAGCTGATTTAAGAATACCTGAATGGTAAGGTCTATATTCTCATCAATTCAATGTCATTTGTGTATCCATACTAGTTAATGATAATCTATCAGATGTTTTGATCTAGCCATATTTCTACCAGTTCTGCATAGATTCAGATGATTGTTGTACTAGTAGGCAGGTAGTTGTATTGTCTTGATATGATCTAATGTGGATATGGTCTCATACTTTTAGATTATACTGTTATACCACTTTTCTATAGCTTTTACTTCAAATTTTATAAAGCACAATGATGACTTGATATCTGGGTGAGGAATGAGTGAATAATCTTAATATAAGTTGTGTTATAGACTACTGAATGTCTGTCATAGCCCTGAGAAACCCATCTATCTTTAGACATCCTATATGTTTGTATATATGCCATGTATCCTATTGTGCCAATCTCCCAACAACTCACTCAGAGATGAGGGACCCCTTATGGATTAAAGGTAGGAAGTATACAGAGGGGTCCTCTGATGACATGATATCCCTCACACTATCTTATATACATATAATATGCTGTTATTCCTCAATATCCCCCTGAACTGCCATCTCACATATTATTGGCCATACAGCTATGATCTGATAGTTGATTATAGATTAAATATGTAAAACTTGGCAAATGAGATGTATGTCAGTGTTGAGTTCAGGCCGTTGATAAGCCGCAGTCTGAGACAGACCAGGAAATGACTATTTTTATTGATTTTATTGCTCAGTGCACGTCTCGGAGTTAATATGAGTCCTGAATGGTCAGCTAAGGAGTTAACTGCTAAAGAACCAGTCAAAATCTATCAGATCGCTCTAAGTGATTCTGAAATCTCGACTAAGAAAAGTTCACAGAGCCCGTTTCTCACTGTAAGGGCAACCCTGGAGGCCTGAGATCAAGGTCCTAGCAGGGGAGGATCCAAAGCGTGAACATTGGTAAGTAAATACAAATGAAGCTGACCTAGCAGGGGAGGATCCAAAGAGAAGAAACTCTAAGGGTCTGCCTGCTAGGGAGCTGACTATATACTGCTTGTCCGTAGCTGCCGCTGTCGGGCACAGAAGGCTTGGGCGGCGTCGCAGGCGAGGTCCCAGGGCGACCGTCAGGAGGGCGTTGACGGATCGGTGATTGTGCGGGCGAGATGGAGGGCCGGACCGGAGTCGGAACCGGAATCGGACCGGAGTCAGACGCGTCTCTGAGGGGCTGAAAGGGGGGGTTCCCCTGACATCACCCCCCCCTTTGAATGCGGCGTCCCAATGCATAGACCGGAACGGAATCGAGTCAAAGGTCGCGGAGGCGATGTGCTGTGGCTTGCCAGGGTACTTACGATAGAACTCCGCAATTTTCTCCGGGGCAAAGATGCGGTCGAAGCAGACCCACTTGGTCGGTGCGACGCGTCGTAGGCTCGTAGCCTTTCCATCTGACGAACACCCGCACCGAAGTAGTTCAGCCGTTTATACCTCACCATTGCGTCCAAGATTTCCTCTACTTCCCACTCTGGGACTCCGTCCTCGAGGTCTGGAGGGGGCTGGTCGTAGCTGGGGCGTCCATCGAAGGGGTCGTCCTGGGCGGGCTCGAGCTTAACAACGGGGAAGACGGGGTGGAGCTTGGAGTAACGCGAGGGGAGGTCGAGCTTGTAGGCAGCTTTGCTGATCTCTGCGACTATCTTGAACGGTCCGAGGCGGCGATGGGAGAACTTTTCCGAGGGGCGAGTCGTCCTGATGTCAGAGGCATCCAGCCAAACACGGTCGCCAACTTTAAACTCCGGAGACGGAGTGCGTCTCCAGTCGTAGTAATGTTTGTACTCCTCTTTGGCCTTTGTGAGTGCAGCCTTGGCTTCAGCAACCCCAGTGGCAATCTGGTCGCGGAACTCGTTCACAGACTCCATAGTGGAGCGGACTTCGGGTTCGAAGCCCATGTGCGGGAGCCGGTGATGAGTGCGGAGTGGGGACAGCAAATGAGCTCTCTAACTAACCAAACCAACAAAAACAACCAAAACTGGAAAAGTCACAAAACCCAAAAATCGTCAACTCCTTGTGCGAGTACAGGCCCCTGTGAACAGAGCCTTGGCACAGATGTGTAAGGTTGTAGGGTAGATACGAGTTTCTTGGCGAAAAACGTTGATTTGTCGTGCCCCAAAGCGTACTATCGACGAAACTCAGCAATAGAGAAGCGCCAATACGATGCCCAGAGAGTTTATACTTGTTGGATCAGGACTAACTGCCTTAAACCCTCTGAGTTGTCTCGAGTCAGGAACTAACTGCCTTAAACTCTCGACCAGCAACCGAAACCCAATAAACAGCAACCGGAACTCTTGTATTCAGCAACCGAAACCCTCAACCAATAATCCTTCCGACGCGATAATACTATTTCGAAAGAGCTAGCAAGATAGATTGACAAGCTAGATCCCCAGATGCACCTAGTAGAGCGGGGCAATCCGTGAACCTGCCAAATACAAAACAGAGATATAAATACTAAACAGAAATTGATAGAATCAGGGAAAATCTCGAGTAAGAAAAGTCGTCCATGTGCATAATTGTATAGGTATCGTTTCGCCATACGGCCCAGAGTCGAAAATCCAGGTCCAGATGACTGGTATCGCGTGTATTGGAGTCAATGACCTGTGTAAATCTTCCGTGTTCGCGACCATCTAGTTTGTCTTGTGAAGAATCCCTCGGTCTTGAGTAGGATAAGTGGATAGCTCTGCTTCCCAGCTTTCGATTGACACCCATAACTCGTATCTTGTGCATATGGCCTCAGCGGTGGTTGTCCCAACTCTCCTGGCGCATTTCCAATGTTCAGATGATCTGTTCCTCGACAGTGTTTTAGAGTCGCCGTTGATCACAGGTCCAGGCCCCAATCAATTGAGTAGGTTTTCACCGTTTAACCGTCCCTTGGCACTCTCGATCCTCCAGCATGATCCGAAACCACATTCCAATGATGTCAGTCGTCGATACCAACAGAGATAGGGGTGTCCCTTATCTAGGAGAAGTCGATCTCGAGTCTCCACTGAGCGCCAAACCGAATATGCCTTTTAGAATACACTCCCTTTGGGTATTTTGCATAGAATTGGATAGATTCTAGCGTAGAACAGGCTCTGCGAACTTTTCCTAGTCAAGATTTTGGAATCACTGAGAGCGATTTGATAGATTTTGACTGGAGTTTGACTGGTTCTTGTGCAGGTAATTCCCTAGTTGACCATTCGGGACTCATGTCAACTCTGAGACGTGCGCTGAGCAACAAAATCGACAAAAATAGTTGTTTCCTGGTCTGTCCCAGACTGCGACTTATCACCGGCCCGAGTCTGTCATGAAGGGGACCTGCTGCGTGGAGGAGTGAACATGGTTGTTGTAGGCGAACTCCGCTGCCGGAATTAGCTCGTCCCAGTCGTCCTGCTGATAGTTGGTGAAGA